CTTTTTGAATGCTCACTGGGATCCTTTTCCACCAAGGAGAGAAACTGCTGATCCCTGATTAGGCATTCTGGGTGCTTCAAAGAGAAAGTTGTTTTTGTGGTTAAATGACACAGGCACCAATATCCCCAAGCACATGTGCAACTTCCCTAACTTCAACTCTGCACCTCCAGGGAGCCCAGGCCAAAAAGGATGCGAGACCAGCCAAAAAAGAGGTGTTCCTGGCTCAAGAGAGCACTTTGCACCTATTCAGAAAGAGAGTTTGGAAGGTTTTTCACAAATGTAGGCAAGCAACTCACTCAGGCTGTGGGCAGGCAAAGTATTTGTAGTATTCTTTTAACCGCTTATCTTCAGATCATGCTCCTCTCATTGGGAATAATTACTAAACCCCTGTGGATGTCTACAGAGACTCAAAGAAAAAACACTGGGCAACATCAAAACAGCTGCTTCAGGCATCAAAATAGTTCCTGGTTGCTCAATTTAAAAGTTTTCAGCAAAGACAATTTTTCAAAAGAAAATCCTAGCACTTTTCTGTGGAAAGGAAATACTTATTTTTTGCAATTTTTACTTGAAATCTCTGCATATCACTGTTTAGTTGATACTCTTGGAGAACACATTTTCTGTGGTATTATTGGTGTGATACAAACTTGTATTACTTTAAATTCTAAATACACCATTGAAATAAGCAGGAAGTGGTAAACATATACTTCATTCATTTAATTTTTTCAAAACTGAATTTCTTCCCCCCCTAACCATCTATATGTGGGTGGTTATAAGCCACCCACAACACAGACTTCCTCAGTCTGAGTGAAAATAGGTTCATGTGTCCATGAACTTCCAGTTTATACTTTTTCCCATTTGATTAAAAATTATTCTTCTCAGACAACAGATTTTTTTTCATCTTTGTATCTCTACTTCAGATGTTTCCTGTCTTTTTCCTTACACAATCAATCTATCTGCTACACCAGACCACTGGCAAAACTAAACTCATATAAACCTTTTTTAGTTTAACAAGCTAACCAAAAGAACTATGATTTTCAGTTGCTGGAGGAGATGATTTATGGTCTTAAGAAATTATGAACCACTACAGAAAGTTCACTGCCAAACTGATTCAAGACTTCCTGAAGTCTGTGGGAGCTCTTCTATTGATGGGCTTTGGAGCAGATTCTACATGTAAAAATAGGACTACTGTGTATTACACACAAAGTAATGAACAAAACATATCTTGATAAATAAAAAATCAGAGGGATGATTCTTTTTTTAAGCAAAATTTCCTCTGTAAGCACCCTAGTTTTACCCTTTAATGCAATATCTTCTTGGTTACAAAGAGTCAATAAGGCTAAGTCTTAAAATAAAGCAATGAATATGACATGATGCAGACTTAAAAAGTAAAGTACTGTAGAGAGCCTCTACATGGAAATATCATTGTTCATCACAGGCACGCTACTCAATGCCCAACATAACCATTTTCCCTTTCCTTTTAACATTTTTATTCTATTTGTAAAAGCTCCATGATGCTCAATGCTGATCCATCTTTTAAGAATACAGAATTACACCCACTTCCTTTTGTGCAAGAATTACAATAAACTTCCTCTAGTACAGTAGTATCTTTGCCTCCAGTTTCTGTTAGGAAAGGGAGTTGGTGTTATTACAGTGAAAGAACATAGCTCAGCTGGCTTAGACACAACCAGCTAATGACAATTAACCATCAAAACTGAGCAAATCTTACATCTGTGTGCCCTACCTTATTTCTTTGGATTTTGTGATTCATTACAACTCTCTGTGTCATTGCAATAAGAAGCCTACATTCATGTACTGCTTGATTCAGATGAATAGCTTTAGAGCCAGTATTTTAAATGCTCTGTCATGCATTGTTTTGTTAGAAGCCAGGTCTCCATTCTCCTCTTACAGTTCCACTGCTATTTAATGTGCAAAACTTCTGTCTTTAGAAGATTATAAGTGAAATATCTCACTTAATTATCCAAACAATATCCCAGCTCCCATTCTTTCAAGAATGGGATTCACAAAACGCATTCATTCAAAAATATGAGCAATTAGCATTGTTAGACTAAGAATCTGGGGTCTGGAGATAAAATTTCTCCTGGTCCCTACTTAGTAATAATTATAGTTAAGCCTGGGCATGGAAAGACTGGAATAATTTAGTGTCTCTTCTTCTTTCTTCTTCAGATCACAGAATGCAAGTAAGGTCCAGAAATAACTTTTCTATTCCACAGCAGCTGGCAAAGTCAGGTGTTAAGATTGGCTTTTAGCATATGATCACAGTGACTACTAAACAGTATAAAGTTTTTGAAGTGACAGCTTGCCAGTTCTATAGCAACTTGGACTATAGTTCCTGTTTTTATAAACTTCCAACCTTTATAAGTTAAGTCCATTTTTATTGTCAATACACTTCAAATTTAACATAATGCCAACTCAAAAATTTTTCCTTCATTCTTACATTCCCAGAAATTACTAGAAGATGAAAAAAGAGAAGCATTTAGCTTCATTTTTAGACCTGCTTTTTCTTCAGTTTGCCATCTGCTTATAAGCTCGCTTCAGCTTTTTGTTTTCTTGAGTATGTTTGCCACTTTAAAAGTATGAGGACATAGAAGAATCAATAAAAGAAAGTTAACACAGGTTTAAAAAAAGCTGCCTGCCAAGGCCATGCTTAGATTGACAGAGTCAACAAAAGCACAGATGAAGCAGACTAGGACACCTGCAAACTCTTACTGTTGGCTATGGGCCTTCATTCAGTACAAGAAATAAGTATTTTTGTAATGTGAAGCATCTGAGTAGACCACCTGAAGTCACTGGAGCTGCAGCTGGTTGTCACCGCTATCATCCTCATCCAACGAAGCTTTCATGCTTAACTTCAAGTGTGTGTGCTTGTGATTAAAATTTCCAAAAGCACCTGAAGTCCTGATCCTGCAAACTCTTCACTTTTGTACCCTGACTAGCATGGTAACCTGCAGAGTCTCACCCTCAGTTTCAGGGCACTAACAGGCCTTACCAGCCCCGCCTGGGACCCCGACCCACACTCCCTGCCCATGACTCCAGGGTCTCCATCTCTGTCCTTTGCCTTTAGTCTCTGCCTCTCAAGCTCCATTGGAGGAGTATCTGTCTCCAGCCTTGTCCCTGTCCCTGTGTCCTAGATTGACACTGGACCTAGACTGTACATAGTGTGTCACCTGGATCCTGCCTTGCAGCTTGCTTTCCACCATGTCTTTGGCCATGTCTCCTGGATGGACTTTGGACCCATGCTGTAGTCTTGTCTCTAGTCCTGTCTCTGGCCCTGTCTCCTTTTGCTCCTGACTGGATTCTCTGGAGAGATGCTGGGCCTCGTTCATTGCTTTGCCTTGTCTGGGACAGTCGATGGAGCGTGTTACCTTGCCCTGCTTGGGTGTTGTGGGACTGGACCCCACTTGGTGAGGGCATTGCCTGTGCTGGGGTCACCCTCGGCTCACGGCTCCCTTTCCCTCAGGGAACAGGCAGACCCTGCACCTCCCTGACACTCGGAGAGGTGATTCAGTCAGTAAAATCAACCGTTTCCCTTGAATTCATTGGGCTTTGGATCAACCCATGGGAAGTTTTCTTTAAGACAATGAGAATATTTGCAGTCTGCAGGATCAGCCCTTCAGTTTCTTCACTGAGATTCCCCCCAAAGTGCAGGAGAACTTTGAATGAATGCTCTGCAATAAAAATGTGAAAAACCAGGCATGCCTAGTGCAGTGTAGTGTTCCTTGTTCATGTGTGCTATTTCAAGTCCTTTAAAAAAACTAGAACTGAAACATCTGAACATACCTTTCAAAGTGCAGAGAAGGCAAATGGCGTAAGTAAAAAATAAATCAATTTTCAGCCAAAAAAAGAAAGACTGATTTATGAAGTGAACTTTGCACCATATCTATTTACAAGGCACTAAGTAATCTTACAGAGATCTAGGACCTCTGTCCTAGAAAATTCCATTCTCCAAGGAAAATCTCTGCCAGTGCAAAGTGCTGGAATCATTCTTCCAGCAAAAAGACAGGGATGATACAAAAAAATGGAGGGAAGGAAGAGGACACAGTAGAATAATGTGTTACACTGATTATCTACTCACACAGAGGTTACACCAATATTAGTTTATTAAATGTGACAGTTTTCTGGCTCATAAGCCATCTGGAATTGTCTGACCATGGCCACACTATTAAATTCTCTCAGCCTCCAAAACAGGGTGACCACATCAAAACTTCAATTAGGAACAGTTTCTGGCCCGTGCCAACCCCTGAACTGTGCCTGGGAACTGGCTAGAAGAATGCTGTTGGTCCAGACCAAAACTGTACCAGGATCTCTCAACAATAAATCCGTACAGACAAAAAATTTCAGTGCAGGAGAAAGGTCCCTGAAACTACTTCATTTACTTGTATAGCAGTAGCTCCAGTCTCTGAGGAATGCATTTTCTGCATCTTCCTCTTATACTACAGTCAAATGGCTGAAACTGTGGACCCATAATAATTTTGCTGACTCCTCTCTACTATGTTTTGATGCCATGGAAAAATCAAGCTTGCAGAATCCCATGATATTAACTGGCACCACATAACACAGATGGTACATGTTCTGCTTGAAGTGTCCAGCAGCAAAGCCAGAGGATTTGGTCAATCAGCCTGCACCCATGTCCTGGCTGGCAATCTGCCTGTCTGATCAGAACCCATGTAACTACTGGCCTCAGTGGGAACAACATCTCAGGCTTACCCAGAACATAGACTGTTTCTCCTCCACCAAGGAAAACATACCAGATGGGATACTACACCTGATAGTGGTGAATGCTACATCTACAAAGGTGTGGATCAACGACACTTTAATGATCAGTGACCCCTTTAATGGCTTCTCCAAAGTCAATAGAATGACACTAACGTAAAAGCAGAATCAAGCCTGCTGAAATTCTGGTTTTGCACAGATATAACTGGATGTAACATTTCCTCATGCATGTAGGCTTCCCATGAAAACTCTGAGGATTAAATAGTTACCTTCTTTAAATTTTGCTTTATGGTTGTACTGTCTCTCTCCACAACCTTCATCATTTCTTGGCTTGCCATATACAAGATGTTGGCTGCAGAAAAAGAAGCATTCAATAATGTAATTACACAGCAAGTGTTTTACAAAAAATAATACGGGCCCAACCCTGCAAAAAGGTAAGGCATGTAGAGCAGTCATCGTCTTGACAGTCCCACTGAAAATAATCCCACTGACAGAAATGGCAGAATTTATCTCAACTAACCGAATCATGAAAAAGGCATATAGACTAAATTAAGTCAACCCGCATTAATTAATTCCATAATTAATGGAAAGACACCTTTGGAACATAACTCTATCCATCATCTTACAGACTTCTGAATCAGCCCGTGGTGATGACTCTCTCTCTACTGGCTAGTGAAGGAACTTTGATGACTACCTTTCACTACATACTTTTAGAAAGGTAAAGGTAAGCATGGTAACTCGCCCATGAAGTGTTTGCAAGAGCGGGCTTTTAAATACAAAGCATTCATTAAAAGGCATTATTAATCAACAGACCATTAAATTATTGACATTTCAATATGCAAGTCATTCAAATATTCAACATAACAAATAATAAAAATAATGGCAAATACAAGTATCATTGAAAACTGCATTCCTGAATAATATTGATGGTACTTACCCAGACAGGACTGGACACCAAATGTCTAAGCCTTACCTTTCTGGAATGTAAAGTATTGAAAATGGCTCAGTGCAATTTATTGTGAGTTGGTCTGTGAGATACTGTCTCAGAGACATAAATAATTGAGTCTAATGTTTGGACACCTAATTAAAAGCAGGTGTTGAATTCTGGCAGGTCCCACGTACGCTACACAGCAGTAGGAACTAAGCACTTCTGAAAAGTGGGTCAGTTTGCCTGGATGCCTAAATATTCATAAATTTAAACATTTTGACACAGAAGGATCACACTGTGTCCACCTAGCCTGGCTTCTGTTACAACAGAACCTACAGAAGCTGGGCAAGAAATTTCAGCACACAGTCCAAAATCTGGCTTTGAACAAGCACATACCTGTTAGATTATGATTTTTGCTCCTGGAATAAACATCATGTATTCAACTGCAGAATCAAGAGTTGCTACATGACCATCAATGTTGCATTATGTCTGCAGAAAGTGAGAGGTCCTCCAAAGGGTGTTCAGACTTACGCAGTTTTAATAGCGGCTATCCATTTCTGACATCAGTGCTGTACTGAAGAAATGTGCAGATATCACTATCCAAAGAATTAGCACTTTTTTTACCCTTTTTTTCTGCTCAGTCAGCTTACTGTGCTAATAAGATGGCCAAGCCTCTCCTGTCCTCACAATCTGAAGACTCTGTGCTTGTTGGATCACAGAGACATTCATAACCTATACGTGGGATTGAAGGGCAATATTCTTCTCCTTTCTCACCAGTTTGCAAAACCAATGGAAGACCCTGAATGGCTAAATGACCTTAAAGCATTTCAATTTCCAGGTCCTAGAACGACTAAAAGTATTCTGAAATACTAAATCCTCTCCTGAAAAACAGGAGAAAATAGGAAGACTCTGACAATTTTTAAAATTTGAACCAATGAAGTTTCGTGCACAAATAGTTAACGACTGTTGGATTTGATACTGTTCTGAGACAGGAGTAATATATTCTCACAATGTGTGATAGGGGAGGAAATGGCAATCACATAGGTCTTTGGTGGTGACCAAAACATGTAGTTGGCTGAATTCCAGCAGTGCTCTAAGGAAACAGAAAGCCACCAGAGAGATGAGTGATGGCTCCAGAGATCAAATGTTGAAAGATAAAGCCAGTGCTCTCAAGTGAAAAAAAAAAAAATCATAGAAAGTAGTATCTACTTCTGAGCCATCCAAAGAAGATGCAATTCAGTTATATGCCTGCAGAGCTCTGACTTTTTTTAAGTAAATGTTGAACACAGCTAGTGCAAGTTCTTCCTTTCCTAGACAAGATGAGAGAGTTGCAGATGTGACATCATATAGACAGTAAATTTGCCCAGTAAATTTGCTGGTCCCATCCTATTCTATTGGGCAAAGGGGCCTCCATGCAGTTTTGTGTCTAGCAACCCGGTCATCTAATCCTGCGGTACAGCTGGCAAAAGTCTGTCCATCTACAGCACTGTTAAGTTCATGCCCTGACATTTGTCTTTTTCGCAATCCAGCTCCAAACACTGATGCATTATACACTTGTTTTTAGAAGGACACACATCTTAGAATGCACCTTCAAAAATCATCTAGGAAAACCTTAAATGAGAGGTATGAAAGACAATGAGGAATTCCATAGGCATTTCATTAATTTCATATTAATTCCTGTTTCTAATGTGACAAATACAACTTCAATGCTCAAAACTCCTACCTATAAATGAAGCTATCTGTCTGTCAAAAGCACTGCTCTATGTCAGAAGGAAAGGCAGAACATGGAGACCTGCCCTTGCTACCCTAGATGCTGGTCCTTCAGGTGATGGATGTGGCTTACTATGGATTTAGAAGATTTCACAAAGCACTAAGTACAAGGGCCTGGATTTGGCAGGGTATCTATGGCAATAGAACTCATACCCAACACATTATATGAGGATTTCAGCATGCCAGGCCTTTTACTTTCCAGTCCAGAATAAGGTTCTTGTTAGTAGCACATGGTGGATAGCCTACCTGCAGTCAGAACTTTTGCCATTACCTTGCAGCATCAGCAGCGGATGGTGGGCAGGGATGAAAACAGAGGTGGCCATCAGTGCAGAACCTGACACATACCAGTTCATTCCACTCTACTGGGATTCTGCAGGCAGCTCTCCACCTTCAGTTCAGTCATACAGCAAAAGTGGGAACAGTAAATACTCCCCTGCTCCCCTTCTTCCATCTTACTGGTTTCTTTGTCCTACCTCTTGTTCTTGGTGGGTTCTGCTCATATTTCTGAGTTGCTCGTGTGTTTTTTGCAGTAAAAAATAAGAAATGAAGTAGAATTCACACACTTAGTAAACTTAGATTAGTCATAAAGAACCTAAAAGTAAAACTGTAAGACAGCAAAGGTAATAAGGACAATACTTTAATAGGAACCGTCTCTGAAGGCCTGTGTGCTGTGCAAGAAAGGGAACCAGGAAGGCAGGATTAAGCTAAACCGGATGAATGGCAAGGTTCAAGAGTCTATTTCAACCAAACAGAAATCCTTCAAATTTTGGAAACATGATCCTAGGGAAGCCAATAAACAGGAACTTAAACTTCAGCAGGCGTTAAGTAAGAGGAAATTGCAAAGAGCAAAAGTAGGTTTCCAAGAACAAACATTAAAAGATTTAAAAATAAACAATAAAATATTCCTTAGGTATATCAGAAACAAGAGGCCTACAGAAGAATTTGCACAGGCTAAGGGGGTAGCTAAAGAAGATAATTACACTGTTTGGAAGCTAAATTATTTTCTTTTTTTTTTGCACACACCTTTCTTGTTCAAAACATTCAGGGGGTTTCTGCTCTCTGTAATCTTTTTCTGGCAATAACAATGATTTCTCTTTGAGTAGTGAGGTATTAAGAAGTAGCAACAGTGGAGAATTCAGAATATATCAGGTCTTGAAGGTACATTTAAGAGCTTTGAAGAACCTTAAATAGAGAATTACTGAGCTGATAACAGTCCTGCTACGTAAGAATCACCCTGTCCAGTTGTTTGGGGAGTTAAAAATAGTGTCTAATTGCTACTGATTTTACAAAGGAAAATAGCATTTTACTGATCTATAATTTCTTGAACATTTCAAAAAACACAACCAGATGACAAAAATTATTGGTCTTTTAAAAGCTCTCTGTTACATTTCACACAATAAATTTTGGTTGAAACTAAACAGCTGTAAAATGAAAGGTTGTAACATGTTAAGAAATAGTCTGGAAGCAAAGAAAAAAGATTAGGATTAGATTAGATTACCTGGTTTTCATCACAGCAAGGAATAAGGTCTGGATGCATCACAAATACAAAAGAAGTAGTGATTATTACTAAAATCTGTAAATAATCTTTAAATAGACCTTGTGATTTGATCATTTCTGGGGTGGGTTAAATTACCTCTCAAGATGACTCTCTTTTCAGTGATAAGGCCTTTAGACCTTAAGTTGAATTAAGTGCCTAAACTGAGGTGGGATGAATCCTGGCCTAAGATTCTAGTCCAGCTTTGTATTAAGATCATGGGTAACTTATGTCTTAATGATCTGGTCAATGGATAAGTAGTTTATTGATAGTGTGTGCACAGGACACAACGCTAGTCAGTTTGTGATGACCAGGCAGTGAGAAATGTGAGAGACCTGAAGAGAAGAGAGAAAAAAATCAACATGCTAGCAAGTGAAATTCAAATTGAAGAAATGGTAAGCAACATACATGCAGAAAAAACCCAAAATATTGTTTTCCCTTACAAGCTTCTAAATTAATGCAAGGAATGGACTCAGTAACCCAAAGACCCCTAAGATGACTGTTGTTCACTGTGCACATTTACTCAACATTCCAATAAAGTCATATTATTATATTTCATAAATAATAGGAGGGGGATGATACAGAATTCTTCAATGCCACTATATAAATCACATAACATGACCACACCTGAAGAACTGTGTATGCTGACAGTCACAACCTCTGTGGGACACCTCAAAACTGAGAATGGTGGTGAAAACAGCCAAAGAAGTACAATTAAAGATGTGTTGTTGCCATCATGTTCATGATACTTCATGATACACTGTTTTTCCCTCTCTTACAGCATAATACATTAAAATGCAAAACAATAAAAGGAAGCTCTTTTTTAATGTCATATGCAATTAACTGTGAACCTTACTGCCACAGGAAACTGATAAGCATATGTATTTTCCGCATTCACATATAAGCGTGTTGTCCTGAGCTCCTCTAATTGTAAATACAGTTAATGCAATTCATCTTAGGGCAAATATCTATGAAGATAGATAACTTATACTTCCAACAATCTCTCCTTTCAGGTACTGTTCTCTAGGTCCGCTATCATTCTTGCTTGGTTTCCTCTGGATACGTTCAGTGGCTCATATCTCTCTTGAATTTTACTGATATGGTATTTCAGCTTACACTG